CCGCCTGTCCAGCCGAGGGCCATCACTTCCAGCCAGTCAACAACGGTCGACCGCCGGTCAACCGCGGTCGACCGTCACGGTGATCTAGAAATCCGACGAGTTGAAATATAGCACAGTCGACCGCCGTGCTAAACGGTCGACCGTTCCGAGCCCCGTAACTTAATTAAATGATATTTTTATCAGATTTCACCCAAATAAAATAAAGTATATTCATCCATTCATATTGTTTACAAATTGTTCATATCATATGACTCATATCATCACACATATTGTAGCATATCATATCATATGCATTCGTAAGAGATCATGCGTAATTGCGTCTCTTATAGCGTGATGTGCGGGACTCAGCAGTCCGACATCACCCGTTCCGGGCTTAGTGTACGTACATGGTATTCAGGCTTTCGAGTACCACCCCCATTTTTCTAGTCTCACCTCATTCGTGAGACTAAGGTGGCGTGAGTTTGTCGACAACCTGGGCGAATCTCATAGCGCAAGGGTCGTCCTTGCACGTTTAGGTTCATGCATCATGTTATCATCATCAAGTACATTGATTACATAGGTGTCATATAATCATCATCAAGAACAATCAAATTGATTAAATGTGAAATCATGTTATCATCATCAAGTACATTGATTACATAAGTGTCATGTAATCATCATCAAGAACAATTATATTGATTACATAAGTGTCATGAAATCATCATCAAGAACAATTATATTGATTACATAAGTGTCATGTAATCATCATCGAGAATAATTATATTGATTAAATATGCCATCAGGTAATCATCATTAAATATCCACCATCCTAAATCATCAAATTGAACATATGATATAATGTGCCATATCATGAATATTTTTATACATTTTGTGGACGTATATATATGTATATGTATACTAGTATTTAACCCGTGCAACGCACGGGGTCGAACGCATGTTGTTTTTAACTCTGTTAAACTTTCAGTTTAGTAAATGGTTAAAAATATAGCTAAATATAATATACTATGTTAGAAGTATAATGAATGATACGATTGTAGAAATACTACCTTTGGTGAAATCAACGATATGTGATATAGAAGAGATCATTGAATCTCTGTCTTTTATGCATTTGTAATTGTGTCGAAGTTGTTGCATAATTGTTCATCGGTGTCCTTGATATACAAATTGACGATTGCACTTGGTGCGAAGCAAACACTGTTTTTTTAAGAATTAAAAAATAAGATGTCAATCCGCTCGTTTATATTATTTATTTCATTTGTATGATTTAATATATGCCATGCATAGTCATATATTAAATCATAAAGAAGTATATAGATACCATTTGTCACATCCCCCAGCGGATTTATTATTGACGTTGATCTAGATTTTGACATTGATGACAATCTGTCAACCTTTGCAATAGAACCTACAAAAGCTAAAAACAGAAAAAAAATGTTCATTCACATAATACTGAGTGATATATACGTTTAAAATCGATTTTAGATAATAAAAAAAAACTATGGTAACTTAACCGTTCTGCACTCTTCTTTGTTGAAGTATATTTTTTTGTCGTGTTCTTGCTTCTTTCGCCAAAATCCATTTATCTTTTCTTTGGATTTGCATCACTATTATCCAAATTTGTACATAAATAAGTTCATTTCAATATGTCGAGTATTTAAAATTAAAAAATTATCAAAAATCATGACAATCTTTTGAAAAAAAGAATCAGATAAAATGGTTTAGTTTAAGATAACGCAATTTAATTCTGATTCTCGAGAGATAGGAAACCAAATTGATGAATCTACTGCATTTGTTTGATCAGAAGAATGTTGTGCGTCAAAATCTGTAATCAAACTCTAAAATATAGTATTATGAATTAACATAGTAAAATAAAAGTATTGTAGTTATTCATTTCAATATAGTAATAAATATATATTGACCATTGTTGTTTTTACCTTCGTTGAAATTAATGGCACGTGAAATACAGGACAGATCAATGTTTCTCTTCTCTTATGGGTTTGAAGTTGCACCGACGATGCACGAAAAGAATATTACACATATAAATATATAATAATAAGGAAAATATATACTCATAGTCCTAAAAAAATCTCTCACATTAGACTTTTTTGGTCAAACAGACATTTTTTTATCACAACTTTTGAGAAAAATATATTTAATCATAATATAAGTTCAATATAATTGGATTAATCTTAGAATATAATTTTGATATATCAAATTTTTTATGATTTATTTATTTATATTATGTTTAATTTATGATAAAAAAAATTTACTGTTTGACTAAAAACATCAAAATAGAAAAAAATTTAGAATTGAGGGATTATAATACAGAGGTCAACACTATTGATTTCAAGATATGTAAATCTACTTCGCTTGACACAGTTATTATCAGGGATAATAGTCATAATACTAATGCTTGTAATATTTTTCATCAAACAATGTTTAATACGAATAACACAGGATAAAAATACAAAATTTGAAAATTCTTTTATACACAATATTCCAATTTTGGACCGACTCAAAGCTACCTATCATTTAGATCTCACTTTTTCATGCTCATTTTAACACATAAAAAATCAATATGGGTATTTCTATCAATTCATAAATAATATTATTACTCCGTAGGGAGGGAGTAAGTAGTACTACTCGGTATCATATATGCACACACAACATATCCACGTCTAGCTTCCAAAATGCAGGAGTTAGAGCATAGAAGCTCTAAGTAAATTCTAAGTAGCTAACACTTCTGCAAGCATAAGAGAGAAACACTTGATTATAAAAATAAACAGGCCCTTATAAATCTAAACACATAGTTGACATTTAGTACATAAAATATTTTCGTATAGATCAAGATAATCCCCGAGCTCTTCCTCAGATGGTACATAAACTTGATCACGGTCAGGTACTTGAATCACCGCAATCCTTGAATTGAATCCCGCACTTGATTTAGTTGAAGCCTTTGTGATTGTTACAAATCTTTGCTTGCAGAGGGGACACCGAGACTCAACTTTTGACCACTCCATGATGCACACAAAACAGAAGAAGTGACTGCAGCAATTCAATGTTCCACGGATTGTCTTCTTTCCTTCTTCAGACAAACAAATTCCACAATTCTGATTCACTTCTTCACTCTTCTTGATCTCCTCTATCACTACCTTTTCCTTCTCCTTTCTTAGTGATGGCTTCTTCTGAGGTTATCTGTTTTTTCCTCGTGGTGGATTCTTTGAAGGTGGACTCCTTGATTTATACATTAGGTCTCTACAAATTTTATTCGCTGTACTATCTTGATCTCTCTCTTCTTCAGAGATGGTGAATTCAGGGTCAGACGATTCACAGTTCACAAAGTCTGAATCAGAATCCACTATTAATCTCCGTTTGCTTCTCTCTTGTGCACACTTCTTTACCTTTTGTGCAATATTTTTTCTTGGTCTCTTTCTAGTGCTCTTCTTTGATGCTTTAGAGGTTTCCTTGCTTTATTTGGAACTTTTGATATTCTCCTCCTCTGCACTCTATTGTTGTTTCCCTTTGGCAATTGTGGTTTGCCCAAAATTTTCTTACCTCTAGCCGTGGGCAGCTCGTCTTCATCTTCAGCATCTGCACAATCAATCTCATCTAGGATAAAGTCCTTNCATCGGCATAGTCATCGTCGTCGCTGTTGTCATAATCATAATCATCATCATCATCTCCACCTCCGTATACAACTCTTTTCCTTATTTCTGGTGTCACAACATTGTTGATCTCAAACGGGATAAAATCTTCATCATCACTACTGTCATCATCTGCTTTGGACGTGACTCTCCTCCTTTTTCTCCGGTTTACTACATTTTTCTATCTCCCTGATGCTTTTGGTATCATATCATTCTTTCTCATAACTTTTTTTCTGCTTCTTATTCTTCAGCTCTTCCAACTCATCATCGTCTTCAAAATCACCCAAACTCTCTCCTGATGTATCACAAACTAAAGAAAAAGTTTCATCCTCTGAACAATCAAACAGCTCATTTTCATTGACCTTATAAGCCTCATCTCATTGTTCATTATGATCTTTATAACATGATCCTTTCCTCTTTGCCATCTTCATACACAGTCCAATAAAATCTAAAAGCCACTTCTTGATTGAGGTGAGGTCATAGCTTTATGATCAAGTCAAATGTGTAGAACCAATCATCCTTCGAGAGAACGATAAACAATTGAGCAGAATCCGACCAGATGATTTACAACTCTGATTTAGAAAATCTGGCACACAAAAAAAGGAACTCATGATGATAGTTATAATAAACACCTTACGGTTACGCAAAAAAGGAACTCATGATGATGTAAAACACACACAATTCATGGCAGGGCCAGGTTAGTTGTGCTTTTGTGCAAAGTTACTTGAAACCTCAATTAATTGAGGTGGTTATAATGAAATGAATAGTCAATTAATTTAGTTAACATTAAATTCATGCAAAAAAATCAATAGAACATGGGTAGAACTTAGTGTTTTAGAGATTTAGTGCATCACCTAAATAAAGTTTTTGCTAAAAAATCTCATCCAATGAACAAAAGTATCTCACCTGCTGCCATTACTTCGTCAAGATCTTTAAAGTGATGTGAATCCAATTTTGGATCTGAGCAAAGAATAGAACACAACCTGTATGTTTAATGACAAAATCAATTCAAATGAGTTCAAACGTAGAGAGGGTAAACATAAGCTAAGAAAAATATTTCTTCCATTTGTTCGTTCCCTCTTATGAGTTCAACTTAGAGAGGCTAAACATAAGCTAAGAAAAATACAATATAAGTATATGAATAAAACTAAATCATTATAAGGAATTAAAGGATGAGTCTCCATTAGCTGTCAAACAGAGTGTTAGTGACCTACCTGTTGATCCTTCACTTAGCTATCCAACTTCACATCTTCTTTGCATATGGTGGTGTTAGATCTTAAAGGCATATTGATGGCTTTGTGATGTATGTGTACCATGAAAATTAACACTAGCATCTTTAACATTTACAGGGTTAACAAATGCCATAGCTCATTAATAGAATCCAAATTGCCTATTCCACCACTTCATAAACAAAGAAAAAGAATGAAAATTATATCCACCGCCTTGATTTTTTTTACGTTTCTACACGTTGAAAAGATAAGTCAACATGAGAATACAATTATGAATTTAAAATACATAAGAATACAGTTATGAATTTAAAATACACTACCAGCCGACAATCATGCTAGCACCCGAATGCAAAATGGAGAACGCAAAGGATTCTTACATCAAATTTGATCAATTGCATTTGGGTGGTTGGGGGTAGAATTTAAATAGCATGATATTGAAAATACTATTGGGAAACCGGAGAAGTCAAGAACTAAAGTCCAACCTCTGTTTAGTTTTGTTCCTTTTGTTTCTGTATTGCAAATTCTACACCTGAGTCAGCCTGGTGAAGGACATCCTACACCCCCGTATTGTCGTCTTTACCTAATTTTAAATCAGAAAGATGAGAAGTCATATAAATGTAAGTTTCCCCATACCCAAATTGGATGATATTAATGGACTTTTTGATTGTAGGGGAGCACTTCTCAAAAGAAGCATACCTTGCCGGAAGCATTTCTCTAAAGAAGCATACCTTGCCGGAAACCTTGCCAGAAGCAAAGAAGCATCGTTGTTGCCGGAATCTGTATCCATCAAAATCGTCTCGCTTTGCTTCTATAGCTCATAGAAATAGGCGTCGGCCTTATCTAAGACACAGATAGAAATAATAAAATTGTATGGTGATATCGTGGTGTCAAGAGATTGTGCGTCTGGTGCATATGCCAATTGCCCACTGACACTATGCTAAGTTTTCCCGCTTGAGAATTCCTGTTACATTATCGGTCTATTGGATGACATCAAGCTCCAAGTATGGGTTTATAACACGACCTTCGATTAAAATAGGATGTAAAACAGTTTAGTTCTTTCTCAAATCTTTGAAGACCCTAAACATGTAAGAAACGATAAAAACAAATGGATCAACCATATCGACCGTCAACACAACCTACTCGGCAAACTATTTATTGAACACATTTTTATTGGCAGATAAAGCAATCCACTAGAAGTCCACATAGACAAAATCATATATTAGTTCTAAACCATAATTATGTCATTGTTTCAACTTGGGCCAAATAGGTAACGGAAATACCTGTACAAAATCATATACTCGCTCTAAATCTTATTTTTCTATTTCTTCAACAAAATAGAAAGTTGAAAAAATACCAGTTTTCTGAGAAGAACATGCATGTTTCTGGATCTGCGACGTTCTTCATTTAAATCATTGCTCCATGGTATATGTGTCGAAGGAGGATGGCCATTGATGTTCCTCCTCTGTCACCTCTGCTCGTTGTTGTGCCGTGTGCTAGGGTTTTGAACCTTACAGTTGGTCGTGCACTCTCCTTGCACAATCTGCTTGAGTGGTAGGATGGTGGACGCGAATGAAATTGAGTTGTGAAATATTAAGAGGTTGGGGCTGTTTTTAACACAGAGTACCCGTTTTTAATATTGTGATGCATGAAGCCTTGAACTGATGTTTGAAGTCGCGAAATACTCAGAACGTGTGAAACTAATCCCGCCACATAAAACATATTGCTTGTGTATATAGCAGAAATATGAAATTGAAGACTTAGGATGATCTAAATCGTGATACCTTCAAAACGGTGAAGCAAAATATACATTTTTCAGAATACTATCATCTCCTATCGAAGCAACCTTAACCAAGGCCAAAATCATTAGTTTTTGCTCCATGGATACATATAAACCCAAAGTCATTTTAAATCAAACAATACATGAACTAAATCGTCAATAAAACCTATTTTAAAAAATGAATATAACTTCATAAAATTGGGAGAGTAGGTAAAAACATAGAAAATTGAAAACCTATTAAAGCTTATTCACCTGTCATTCTTTTTGGCACTTCTTCCCTTTATCTTCTTTCTTTTTTTTTGCATATTGACCAAGTATTTTCCCGATTGCCTCAACTCTAGTGAGCAACAACTAATTATGAAGTAACAATACAAATTTGTTACTCGTGTTAGAAGATTCCCAAAGCAAGTATCACAAAATGAAGTATACACATGCAGCAAGTGGTAAGATATTATAATACGGCAGTGTCTGTAGTTACTTAAACAGGCAGCAAGTATGATTTTATAATCATGCACTAAGTTATGATTGATTTTTCAATAAATAGTCTCCAAGATTATTTTGTATAAACAAGAAGAATCTATTTCTTGTAAAAACATGCAGCAAGTATGTTCTTATTGGCCTGTTAAGATTGTTTTTCTGAGTGTGTAAGTTTGTAAAAATACTCTGTAATATACATCTTTTAAACACTGTTTGGACAACATGTAGCTTGAAACAATATATTGACATTTTAGATACTAACAATATAAATCACAGGGTTTAGCAAATGAGTTTAGAAACAATACATTGACAGCATGTAGCTATCCAACTTACACCTGATACATCATAGGGTTTAGCAAATGAGTTTAGAAATAAAGGATGCACATCTAAGACAAATATAGGCTGTTTATTATTTCAAGAAACAATACCTAGTAGCAATTCAATCACAATACTTTTTCATGCACATTGATCTGGAAAATAATACGCCTAAATTCTTTATGTAGATTTTACCGCAAGAAATTTTTTTTTGGGATCTGGCGAACATAATAACGGAAAAGGAATATAAATTAATTTAAGAATCTCGCTATTAGGCAACACACGATTCAAAATCGATTAATTGACCGAAAAAATTGGTGAAATCGTAGAGAAGGGCTCGAAATAGGTGTGGAAGATGAATATATTAGAATCGCACATGTAATTTGGGAATGACCTGGATCTTCAAGCACGCTAAGAATCCAGGAAGAATCAAGGTTAACAGCCTGACGGTGTAGATTTCGGAATTAGAATCCGAGAAGAATCCGGGAACCATTACTTTCTTGAATTTGCCATATTTGGGCGAATGAGCGAAGAAGATGTTTTGGCGTTGAAGAAAGACGCAAATCGTGCAAGGGAAGAGAAGCGCAAGGAATTTCCGATTATTTCTCAGAAGCTTACGCGTGTCCTACTGCTTACGTGTCTTCAAATTAGAACACCTAAATTGCCACATGTCAAAATCTTAGGAATCAAACTCTCAAATATTATATTAAGGGATGTCTATGAATCATTCTACAATTCTAGCGTGGTACCACTCAGCGGTTTCGCTGAGCGTGTAGTTTGTATTTTTCGTTGACTACATGTAGGTAACAAGAAGACAATGATGGAACCTTTCCCGGAGGGCATTGAGTCAGAGGAGATGCAAGGATGGCAGGCAAATGTTGATCATTAGATTTTTAAATGTGTCATGATTTGATTATTATTTTACTTCCGCATTACTCTGAAAATATTTTTTTAAATGGGTCGCGATCCAGAGTCTGTAAATTTAATATTTATAAGTAATTGTCATTTTCAAATGTCAAGCGAAATTTTTATTTAACTCTCGTTTCACCTTAATTCGTGTAATTCCGGGTTATACGGATTGGGGTGTTACATATATATATATATATATATATATATATATATATATGTATATATATATATATATATGTATATATATATATATATATATATATCCTTTAATATAATATTTGAGACTCCGTTTGCTAGAAAGTTGCCGTGTCTCAAGTTTATGTGGGCTATATTAAGGTGAGATGGCAAGACTTTATTGGTTGCTTATGTGGCAAATTTTATTAATGATGAATTGACCTTTCTTTTTATTTTAAAATAGAAATTAATAATGATTTCAAATTTTGGAAAAATTTTACGTAAGAAGATTTAGGACAAATAAAGAATTCATTACTTCGTGACATTAGATGAGTATTTATATTTTTTTATTTTTAAAAAGCAATTCATTTATTTATTTGTTATGTTGTGATAAAATTAATTATGTTATAAAATCAAATTTGTGAAAGATAAATATGGTATTGTCCGAAATAAAATTATTAAAGGAAAATAATCATATAAAATATAATTTTATGATAAAACTTATTATGATGTAGCAAAAAATTAGTGAAAATATAAAATTGGTATTATCACTTACCATTTCTAGACTAGCATTTTTAATGATTCAAATTTTTAACTAAGTGCATACACAAAAAACAAAATTTTGATAATGATATATTTTCGTTTAAAAGTATTCTTAGAGGAAAGGATCAAATATGTTTATAATTGATCCTTTATTTATAAAATTGATATTTTAGTCTCTAAGAAGCTGAGATGTGATGTTGTTTACGAGACATTTCTGACACGTAAAATATATTATAGAAAGTAAGAAGTTAATACTATGGTTTGAAGTCATTCGATACAATTAATTATAGAAGAGAACATAGATATTCGTTTTTATAATTAATTATTTCCTAATTATGCATATTTTTCTATTCAATTATTACAAAACTTCTAAAGGTGTGTTTGGTGAGCAAAACAATATGAGTGGGAGGGGGGGCTA